TGACCGCCAAGATCGTAGGAGACATTTTCATTGAGGTACAGCTGGTGGGAAAGGCCTGCCTGCCTAGTTCTCATTCTGGGTCCCATCCCCATGCCCTGGGCTCAGAGCCTGAGAATGTGGAGACTGCTCTGTGGCAGCAGAGGAGGGAAGGGGGCCCCTGCAAAGCCATCCCCCAAATAGCTTCTGCCTTAGTGGTAGGCACAGTGTGCCTGGGACCCCTCCCCCAGGGACAGGCACTGTGTTTTCCCGGATCCCCCCTTGGCAGCTGGTCATTGCACCCTGGACCCCCTCCCTGTGCCTGATGCCTGTGCCCTCTTCCCCAGGGCCTGTATGACATGCACATCCAGCTGCAAAGTGTGCCCTTCCTGCACTGGGAAGCCCCGGTCACCTCGCACTCGCTCACCGCCAGGTACCGCCTTTCTCCCTGTCTTGGTCTTAGGCTGAAGGCCTGCAGGCCTGGGCTTCCTCTCCACACATAGGTCGAGGGCAGTGAGTGGTGCCGACGCTCTGGCAGGGTGGGTGTGGGCAGCCAGGAGCAGGAAGGAGGCCACACGCCTGTGTGCGAACATCTGGGAGATGCTCTCCAGGTGTCGGGGCTGCTGGCACCACCCAGGACGGGTTCTCCGTGGCCTCTGGGCTTCCTGCACCCCTGCTCATGGCTTACTGCATCCAGCAGCTTCCTGCCTGTTGGCTTCATTCAGGATCCCCATGGACACATGGTTTGTGACCAAGTGGCCAACAGGGGACGCAGTGTGTGCTCTTCCCCAGGGAGGTGATGAGCACGCCGGTCACCTGCCTGCGGAGGAGGGAGAGAGTGGGCGTCATCGTGGACGTGCTCAGTGACACGGCGTCCAACCACAATGGGTTCCCTGTGGTGGAGTCCACAGATGACCCCCAGGTACAGGGCCTGGGGGGGTGGCCCTGGGTCCACTGCTGTCCCGCAGGAGCCATAGCCTCAGGCCAGGTCCTGCCTCCATCCTCTCTCACAGGGAAGCCATACTCTTCCCCTGTACCTGTCAAGCAGGACATGTTGGGCAGGGTTGGTTCGTAGGGACAGTTTTGTGTCTGGGTTTATGGTAGAATCCCATTAACTGTGAAAGGAGCACTGTCCCCACGGATAGATTAGTGATGTTCCCAGTGCCATCTCATACCCACACTGCCCGTCAGCCGCACTGTGCCTGTTGTCGGGAGAGGCCTGACAGCATGTGGCCCACCCAGTGCCAAGCTTCCAAAGGTTTGGGGTGAATTTTGTCAGCCGGGTCTGCATGCCCCCAGCCCGTGCTGCAGCCCAGGCACTTTTTTCCTTGCTCTTCGTTGTGTGTCCCCCTGCCCCTTCCAGGTGTTTGGGGGTTAGCATGCTTGTGCCTTTGGCAAAGCCAGTGCCAGTCGACAGTGACCGTACGTTGATGGGGAGTGTGACAGGGAGCCTGACTAGAGCCAAGGTCCCGAGCAGACGTCCTGGACCTGCTGTTCAGACACTGCCCGCCCTCCTGTTCACACCACTGAGCTTTCACAGGGCCTCAGCCAGGCAGGCAGGTGCTAGGTCAGGGCTCTGCTCGCAGACAAGGCCATCTTGTCTCCCCTGCAGTCAGCGCGGCTCCAGGGCCTGATCCTGCGCTCCCAGCTGATTGTCCTCTTAAAGCACAAGGTAGGCTCCTCGGCCCCTCCAGGTGGTGGGAGATGCAGGCGGGAGCTGGGGTCCTGAGGTGCCTTGCCCACGGCCTGTTACCTGCTGCCCGCAGGTGTTTGTGGAGCGGTCCAACAGGGGCCTGGTACAGCGGCGGCTTAGGCTGAAGGACTTCCGGGACGCCTACCCACGCTTCCCCCCTATCCAGTCCATCCATGTGTCCCAGGATGAGCGCGAGTGCACCATGGACCTCTCTGAATTCATGAACCCCTCCCCGTATACGGTGCCCCAGGTGCCTGGTTCCCACTTGCAGGGCCTTCTGTGGCTTGCCAGGGAGGGACGGGGGTGGAATCCGTGGAAAATGGGAAGAGCTCCATTCTTACACACATGACAAGGTTTGGGGGGTGGGCATGGCTGCATAGCCAGACCCCGGCAGCATGGCTGAGATGGGCTGGTTGGCATGCGGGGGGAAAGATGTGCTTTAGGACACGTATTGATGTCCTGGTTGCTGCGGGTGTGATGGGAGGCAGCCAACCCTGGGCTTGGAGAGTCCTGCCTCTGCTCTTGGCTGGAGCCAGTCTGGGCCAGTAGGCAAGCTGAGGCCCTGACCACATTGCAGGAGGCATCTCTCCCTCGGGTGTTCAAGCTGTTCCGGGCCCTGGGCCTCAGGCATCTGGTGGTGGTGGACAACCACAATCAGGTGAGTAGCCAGGAAGGGCAAAGGGCCCCTTTTCCTGCTGGCCTGCCTGCCTGCCCTGGCCATATGTCCACCTCCGGGGCTCCCCCAAACTGTGCTGCTCCCCCACATGCTTCCACAGAGGAGGAGTGGGGCTGCCGGATTCCTATGACCTGGCTTTGTTCCCACAGGTGGTCGGGCTGGTAACCAGGAAAGACCTGGCCAGGTACCGGCTTGGGAAGGGGGGCCTGGAGGAGCTCTCGCTGGCCCAGACGTGAGACCGTGGCCCTGGCACCTCTCCTGGGGTCCTCAACACGCTCCTCGGGCAGCAGCAGATCTGTCGGCCTCAGACCGCGGGATGGCCCCCTGGTGTGTGAGCGTGACCATCGATGGGCACCTTGTCGATGTCCCCCCTCCTCCCCCTTGCCTCAGCCCCTTGGATGTCACTCTCCATCCTCCTGTTTCTTCACCCTCAGGGAGCAGGTGTTCATGCAAATGCTCGCTTCCTCCGAGCCAGCGAGAGTTCACGTGTGTGTGTGTGTCTCAGTGCGTGTTTGTGTGTGTTCATGGTATGTTTACCTGTGTGTGAGGCAGCCAGTAAGCTGGGCCCTGTGGATTTGAGTGCTGCAGGCCCCCAAGGCAGGGCCACCCCTGCTTCTCTGCTCCTCGTTACCCTCAGTGCTGGCCCAAAAAGACAGAGCTGCCTGTACACTGCCAGCTGGAGGCCTGGGTGATGTGAGGCTGCAGCTGAGGCTTCTGGCCTTGTCCCCACGGCCCAGTGTGTGGCCCTGAGGTGATAAGCCTGTGCAGCTGGGACCTTCCTGGACAAAGGCCCAGCCGGAGGACCAAAGGCCAGGGCCTGGGGCAGCAGACTCTGGAGCAGGCTGTTCTCCAGATCCCGCATGTGCCCCGGGCCGCACCCCCTCAGGAGGCGTGGGCTCTGTGAGGAAACCTCGGCCGAAGGAGAGCTGAGGACCACCGTGGGCCTGAACCCGAGTCCTGTCACACATGCCACCCAAGCCCTCTGGAGCACCCAACCCTCGGGAGCTGGAGTCCAGATGAACAGCTGTTGCCACTGGGACTGAGGCTGAGAAGGCAGGTCTTCTCAGCATGGGGCTGGGGGTGGAGCCTGGCCCAGGGTGATGTTCTGGGCAGCTCTGATTCCGGTCCATGCAGCTGGGCTTTGGGCTGAGCCGCTGAGCCTGCAGCAGGGATGCTGTTCCCTCCTAGGACTTTTTTAAAGGTGATTCCCAAGTCCCCACCCCATCTCTGATGAGGTGATCAGATGCTTTTGTGGCAAGCTGGTGGGTGTGCGCCTTGGTTTTAGCCCCTTTCAAGGGGATGGGACCTCGAACTGCAGGTCCAGTCCTGGTGGGGAGTCCTCTGTGGAGGGAGCAGGATCTGAATGTGGGAAGTCCAAATAGGAGAAATAAAGAAATTGTACCCAGACAACCTCTGCCAGCTTCCTGTTTCTGTTGAGCATGGACCACACTTTAGCAGCCTGGGATCCCAAGGGTGGGGGTGTCTGAGATGAGACCTCCTCAATGCGTGGTACAGAGTGGACATCACTGGGAGGGAGACACAGATGAGAGGCCAGGAAACCAGGTGGTTGTGTAGGTGGGACCCTCGTACTTCATGCAGGAGGGGACCCCCAGGCACCAACCATGCATCCTCATCGAAGGTCTGGGCAGTGTTGTTCCTGGGGCAGCTACAGGGTCCAGCGGAGAGGACTCCGCACAAGCTGACCTGGTGGCCACGAGGCGTGTGGTGTGGCTCCCCCTGGAGGAGAAGCTGACTGAATCCCCCAGCCAGGCTGAGTGGCAGGTCCAGGGGCTAGCGGCACGGCTGCAGTGGCCTGAAGTGAGACATAACCTTCACCAACCTTCAGACTCGGAGCGGAGAAAGCCAGGGCAGCATTTCGCACACTTTGTGTGGAGTACATGTTGAGATGGTATTTTCGGTGAACTGGGTTACATAAAATGGACTATTGACGTTCACTCCACCTGGCTACTTTCTCTTTTTAATGAATTTCGTATTTTTTTTAAACTTTATTTTCTGCAAAGCCAATCACGTGTTGGGTGGGAAAAGTATAAAAGTTATTCTTCCATATTCAGGCACAGCAAGCACTCAGTTTCAGAAAACAAGAACTTAAAATATTTGAATCAAAGGCAGTACCCTGCTACTTGCATTTTAAAACTATCTTTCTTAGCAACAACAACAAAGCCTTTTTGTTGATTTCAGAGCGGAAGGGAGAGGGAGAGAGAGAGAAACATCAATGATGAGAGAGAAGTGTTGCTCAGTTGCCTCCTGCACGCCTCCTACTGGGGATTGAGCCCACAACCCGGGCTTGTGCTCTGACCGGGAATTGAACCGTGACCTGGTTCATAGATAGATGCTCAACCACTGAGCCATGCCAGCCAGGCTCCACCTGGCTACTTACTGTGGCTGCTAAGAAAGTTAATGTCGCCGGAACCGGTTTGGCTCAGTGGTAGAGCGTCGGTCTGCGGACTGAAGGGTCCCAGGTTCGATTCCAGTCAAGAGCATGTACCTTGGTTGTGGGCACATCCCTAGTAGGCGGTGTGCAAGAGGCAGCTGATCGATGCTTCTCTCTCATCGATGTTTCTAGCTCTCTATCTCTCCCTTCCTCTCTGTAACAAATCAATAAAATATATATATTTTTTAAAAAGTTAATGTCCTGGTGTAGCCCACTTATGCCAACACCCTGTTCCCTTTGATAGCCCGTCAGAGTCTGTTTTCTTGGCTGCGGGACTGGCTGTGTTCAGTCCGTCGGGTCCCAGCCTTCCTGCTCTGGTTTAACGACCATGGAGCCAGCAGTTGCTCCTTGGCATGGCTCCTGCTCAGACCAGAGAGTTCTGCCCTGACCTCTATACCACCGTGGATCCTTCCAGAAACAGGCAGTTGGGAGGCCTTGTGGGAACAGGAGAGTTGATGGCTCAGGTTCCATTGGCAGTTGGGCCTGAAAATTGCGACGTTCTGGTGAGGACAAGAAGGTTCCAGAAGAGCCCTCGCTGCCCTACCTTCCTTGGTGTTGTCTTGGAAGGAGGTGAGATATTAGGACTGGAGCTCATCCCTTCACAGCCCATGTGGTCCCCCAAGGTCCAGGGCTGACTTCCCTGCCTCCCCCAGCCACTCCCCTTCTCCCCCTGCAACCACCCTGGTTCCAGCTCTGGGCGGCCTCAGGGTGCTAAGCCAGGGCCTCTCGGCAGTGGCCAAAGCCAAAAGCAGTGGCTGCTGATGAAGCTGGGTCAAGTGAACCAGGTGCCAACTGGGGCAGAGCCAGGAAGATAGAGCAGGGAGGAGCCTGCATAGGGGTGTGATCTCCAGGTAGCTCCCTCTGGCCTGGCCAGGCAGGACATCGTTCCACTTCGGCTGCCCAGTGATGTGTCCTCAGGCAGGGAGTGCACCTCTGAGTCCGAGCTTCCTGTTGAGCAATGAAAGCTGAGCCCTCTCTAGCTGGGCTGGGCTGTGCGACTCGGCAGAAGGAGCCTCAGTGAGCTGGCCAGGCACACTCTGTGACAGTTGCACTGATTCTGGGCCCCTGTTGCCCTAAGCTCCATCTAGGAACCAGCACCCCTTGTCAGTCCAGAAGGCCAAGTGGCAAGCTTGGAGGTACCTTCTTGCAGAGCTGGCTGATTGCAACTCCTCGTCCGGGGCTTCGCCCCCCTCTCAGCTAAGCACTACCACCCTGGAGGACCTGGGGCTCCTCCTGGAAGAAGGGCTGGAGCTCCTGAGTCTGGAGGAGATCTCAGAGAGGTATGAGCCCAGCTGCCTGGAATCCTCCACTTCCGTCCCAGAGCAGGACACCCCCAAGCGCTGGGAGCACCTGGAGCAATGGTGAGCCCCGTGTGGGCGGAGCGGGAGAGCCATACATCAGCCCCAAGGCATGTGTGCCGACTCGGCCTGCTCCTCATCCTGGCCAGGGTGGCCGACCTGCAGGCCGAGGTGGTGTCCCTGCGGAGACACAAGGACTACTATGAGCGTTCCACATTGAGCCTGCTACAAGAGCTGCGCCAGGTGCAGGTCATCGTGCAGCTGCAAGACTCGGAGCTGAAGAAGCTGAAGCAGGAGTTACACCAGGCAGTATGGGGCCCTGAGAAGGAGGCCCTGGAGGTGAGACACCCGCCGGCTGGGAGGCAGCTCACCCCCCCTCCCCCAGGCCAGGTTCCCCCATTCCCAGGTGTTGGGCAGCTGCTTCCTGGACCCTGAGCCCCGCTCATCTCTGCTGCCCCGGCTTGGAGCCCAGAGAACCCCATAGGCTGTGTCTGTGCTGGTCTGGCTGTGAGGGCCCAGGCCTGCACTCAGCCCACACCCTCCTCCTTGCAGTTCCCCAGCCCCCAGAACCAGAACAAGATGCAGGTCCTGGACAAGAGGTATTCCCGCGCTTGTGGTGCAGGACTCAGCAGGAGGGAAGGGGTTGGGGAGAGCAGTGGCTGGTGCCGGACCCCTCAGAGCATCAGCCACAGGGTTTTGTTTTCCCAATTAGTTGTCTTGCCCCGGTAAGCAGGACACGCCCATGGCAGAACTCAAACGGTCTGGGTTTGTGTGTTTTCAACCTCGGTGCTCCCCTAGAGGCCTGGCAGAGGCGTGGGAGGCTTGCTGCTGGGGCCCTTGGCTAAACTCCCAGCCCCTGAAGGCTGCCCAGCCTGCTCTGGGCTTCTCCTGGCCGCCAGGAGGGTAGCTGGACAGGCCCCAGGCAGAAGCGGCTCTTGTGTGCCAGGTTGGTGGAGGTCCGGGAGGCCCTGACCCAGATCAGGAGGAAGCAGGAACTCCAGGACTCTGAGCGGAAGGGCACCAAGCAGGAGGCCAACCTCAGGTGGGCACCTCTCGCCTCCTGCCCCAGGGGCTGGTTCTGGACATGCTGTGTGTGGCCATGTGGGTGTCACCGAGGCAGGGCAGGTGTTCACGTACCCTCGGTGCCAAGCTGCGGTTGACAGGGAGCCTCAGACACCTTGTGGATCTTCTGTGGGAAAAAAGGGACTTGAACTTGGGGCTCCAACCATCTCCTTTCCCATTGGTCCCAACCAGGGCTCAGCTCTCACCACGCGGCGGGGAGGAAGGGGTAAGAGAGGGTAGAGACACAGCGTCTTGCCCCCTCTTTGTGTTCACTCAGGCGAGCTATGCACCTGCAAATCCGAGGGCCTTAGGTCAGCCTAGGGCCCCCAGAGCAGCTTTGGCCTGAGAATGGCCCCCAGTGCCAGCCTCCCTGTGGCTCCCCAGCTCGCCCCTCTGGCTGGCCGGGCTGCTGTGACCTTTGGCCCGTGTCCCCAGGTTAACCAAGTTGGCCAGGAAGCTGGAACAGGAGGAGCAGAACCGGGAGGTGGCGTGCAGTGCCCTGCAGAAGAGCCAGGAGGAGGCCAGCCAAAGGGTGGACCAGGAGGTGGCCAGGCTGCAGGTACCAGGCAGGGCGGGCGGGCAGCTGGGCTGCTGGAGAGAAGGTCCTTCTGGAAGACCCTCCCCACCCCCAGCCCAGCCTGTGCCCTTCCCCTCACAGGTTCTCCCTCCTCCAGCTATCTTTTTAGGTCCCTCCACGTGGTCAGACTTGGAGGGTGACCCCAAGGCCTGTGCTGTGGAATACAGTGGCCACTAGCCACAAGTGGCCCTGTGTATTGAAATTAGCTAACTTTTTTTTTTTAATCCTCCCGCAAGGATATTTTTTCCCATTGGTTTTTACAGAGAGTGGAAAGGAGAAGGAGAGGTGGGGAGGGAGAGGGAGAGAGAAACACTGATGTGAGAGAGACACATTTGCCTCCCACATGTCCCCTACCAGGGCCAGGAGCCTGCAACTGGGGGACATGCCCTTGACCGGAATTGAACCTTGGACCCTTCAGTCCGCAGGCTGACGCTCTATCCACTGAGCCAAACCATCTAGGGCGAAATTAGTTACCATTCTAGACAATTTAAAACTCGGTGCCTCCGTCACGTGAACCAAATTTCAAATGCTCAGCGACCACAGGAGGCAGTGGCTGCAGATGGGGCTGCACCTTCATGACAGCAAGTGTCGTCAGCACCAGATCAGCCACTGCTCCTCCTCCCCTTTCTGTGCAGCCAGCACCCAAACCAAGACACGGAACCCCAAAGCCTGAAGCCCCTTCCTCAGCCATTTTCAACCTCGGGCTCCCCTCAGGCAGAGCAGAGGTTACCCTCCCGAAGACGCACCCCCAGTTTCCCCTCCTGCGGGAGGGCCACAGGTGGGGGCGGGGGCTCGGAGGTGGGTCAGGGGACGGGGCAGCCTCTTCAGCTCTGCAAATAGAGACCGGGGACTGCGCCGTACACCAGGGCGGCCCCAGCTGCCGCCCACATAGCTCGGCTGCTCAGCTTCCGTAGCGTTTCCCTCCCGCTCGGTTCCCTCCACAGGCTGCTTGCTGCCCACTGGCCAGGAGCTCCTGTGGCATTGGGCCTGGGGACTTCCAACACGACAGGCACCTCCACCTGGTGGGATGCCCGCCTCTTCCCTAAGCCCACTCCAGGGCCCGGGTCTGCAAGCTATGGCCCATACCTGGTTTTGTCAATAAAGTTTTATCGGCAGACGGCCACCCCCATTCGTTTACTATTGTCCACAGCTGCTTCTGCGCTGGAACCACAGCACTGAAGAGCTGTGCACAGACCCTGCCCTTCAGGTTTATGTTGTCCATAAACCCGAAACATCTACTCCCTGGCTCTTTACAGATCCTTTGCTCAGCCCTGCACAGGCCGTGAAGCTGGCCAGGGCTGGGGCACACCAGCACATGCACTTGACCTCTCTTCCTAAGGCTCCCTCCCAGCTCTGGGTGTGGTTTGGTGGTAGCTGCTGTGCCTTCTTCCGATCGTCACTCCTGCGGGCACCCAGTGTGTTCTAGACCTGCCTGAGCTTGGCCTGCAGACCCCTCGGCCCTGTGCCGCCCTCCGGGAGGACAGGGGACCCTGGCCTCTTTTCCTGTGGAGGGGGTGGCAGGCCCAGCCCCGCTAGGCTCAGGGACAACCAGGGACCCGGGACCCAGGGCCCCCCGATGGAGATAGTTGGGCAAGAAAATAAGTCTGAGACGGCATGGTGGGTGGGGGGCCGCTGTGGAAGAGGGCGCCCAGCACGGTGGCAGCACAGTGCCCATATGCTCCCCCCACAGGCCCAGGTGACCAAGCTGGGGGAGGAGATGAGCCTTCGCTTCCTCAAGAGGGAGGCCAAGCTGTGCGGCTTCCTGCAGAAGAGCTTCCTGGGCCTGGAGAAGGTGGGAGCTGGCCGCTGGGGGGCTCCGCCGTGGCCCCCGCCCCCGGCTCACGCAGCGGACGGATCTCTCTCGCAGAGGATGAAGGCCTCGGAGAACACACGGCTGAAGGTGGAGAGCAGCCTGCGGGGGGAGCTGGAAGGCAGGTGGCGGCAGCTCCAGCAGCTGGCGGAGGAGCGCCTGCGGGCCCTGCGGGGGCAGTGCAAGGTGGGCAGCTCGGGCTGGGCACAGGCAGGGCGGGGGGGGGGGGGGGCGCGCCTGGCGGGGCCCAGGTCTCAGGCCACCTCGGCACTACAGCAGGAGGAGTGCTACCTCCTGGAGCAGTGCCGGGGCCTGGACAGGGCCGTGGTCCAGCTGACCAGGTTTGTGCGCCAGAACCAGATGTCACTGAACCGCGTCCTGCTGGCCGAGCAGAAGGGCCGGTGGGTACCCAAACGGGGCAGTGGGCAGAAAACGGGGGGGGAGGGGGGGAGGTCAGGCTGGGTGGGTGGAAGTGGCCTCAATCCCTGGACCCCAGCTTCCTGATCCCAGTGTCAGGCCCAGATGAGTGCCTGGCAGAGTAGCCACGCACCCTCAGCCTGCCCCTCACAGGGGACTCAGGGTGGCAGCGGTGGACGCAGCCCTGTTCTGGTGGCCCCTGTGATGGCACTCCCATCCTCTGCTCCAGTGAGCTTCTTGGAAGGTTCTGGAGCCTGCAGCCAGGCTCCCGTCCCTGGCCCAGCTCTGAGGGGCAGGCCAGCCTCAGCTGAGGGACAGTCTCTCTCAGTGGCACCCACCCCCAGGGACACCAAGGGCCACTTGGAGGAAAACCAGGCCGGGGAGCTGGCTGCCTACTTTCAGGAGAAAATGGAAGCCATGCAACTGGCCAGCGAGCAAGCGCAGCAGGAGACGCAGAGCACCCTGGAGCTGGTGAGGGCTGAGGCGCTGCGTCCGGTCTCCTCGTGGGATCCCCCGCCTCCCAGCACCCACACTGGGCCCCACCTCCCACAGCTCCAGGAGAAGAGGCAGGCCTTGGAGGCGTCTGTGGCTGAGCTGGTCAGACAGGTGGGCGACCTGAAGGACCACTTCCTGGCCCTGAGCTGGAGGCTAGACCTGCAGGAACAGACGCTGACCCAGAAGCTGTGTGAGGTGAGGCTGCCGGGGGGAAAGGCAGCCTAGCCGGCCGGGGTCCTGGCGCCCCTCTGGCTCCCCGAGGGTGGAGGCCTGACCGGCAGGTCCCAAGAGTGCCCGGTGACTGCCTGTAAGGCCGAGACCTCCTGCTGGGGCAGGCAGCCCAGGGCCAGCTGCTGAGACGTCCGTCCAGAGGCCCCAGAGGCCTGACCAGCCAGCGGGCTCCACGGAGGGGCCAGCACGGCATCTGTCCCTGGTTTTTTTTTCTCTTCTTTGAAGGTTAATCCACGCCCCGAACAATCCCCCTCTTTAAAGTGTATAATTCAGTGTGTTTTTCGTATAGTCAGCGTTGGACAATCCACCACAATCGCTCTTAGAAGGCTCTGCCCTCATTAGCAGCCACTCCCACCCCCTCCCCAGACCCTCGCCCCCACCCTCTGCTTCCTGTCTGTGGATGCGCCTTTCTGGACACGTCCTTGGTGTGGAATCACACACTGGCCTGCGTCCGGCTTCCCTCGCTGAGATGGCTTTTTAAGTGCATCCGTGTGGTAGCATTTCGTCCTTCTGGGGGCGGAGTACTCCTTCGCCACACAAGGGGCCACAGCTGTTTACCGTCTGTCCGGGCTGGGCACTGGGTGGCTGCCCCTCTGGGTGACACGGAGGCACTGCTGTGAGCGCACACGTACACCCCTGGCCCGCCCTGCGCCTCCTCCCCTGCCGTGTGGGAAGACTGCCTTTCTCTCCGTCCCTATCCCCGCTGACTCCCCGTGGGCAGCAGGGGTGGGGAAGGGCTGAGGGTGCTGGCTGGCCTGGCTGGACTGTGCGAGGCCGGTGTGCATGAGCTCAGAGTCAGGGGCGCGCCCTGTCTGTCTGTCCACCCTCCCTGTCCACGCTCCGGCCTCACCGGCTGTCTGTGTCCTAGGCAAAGAATGAGTGGGAAGATGCCGAGCGGAGATCGCTGGAGGGCCTGGCCTGGTGTCACAAGGAGGCCCAGGCTTACCTGCGGGAGGTGCGGGAGACGGTGGACAGCCTGCCGCGGCAGGTGGGTGAGGCTGGGGCCGCCCCCCCTCCCCTGCGGTGCCCGCCCTTAGTGGCCCGCCCACCCCAGCCTCTGCTCCGTTTCAGATAGAAGCCGTCTCTGACAGGTGCGTCCTGCACAAGAGTGACTCCGACCTCAAGATCTCCGCTGAGGGCAAGGCCAGGTGAGGCCCAGCTCCCAGAGCTCGTCCCGCAGGCCCGCCCCCCGGGAGGGCGTGAACGCCACCGGCTGGCCTGCAGGGAGTGGCCGGGAGGGCTCAGCTGTCTCAGAACCGCCTGCTGCACCCACAAGCCTTCTCTCGGGTGCCCCTGCCTGAGCGCCCAGCATCGCAGCACCCTAACCCCTCCCGGCCCTGGCTTGGGGATGGTCTGCACGGATCCCCGGATCCTTCCCTCTGTCACTCCAACCCCCACTAGAGGGGCGTGGCAGAGCAGAGCGCCCTTCCTCTGCCCAGGGATCCTCCCGCTCCTCACCCTGCCCGCACCCTAGAGCTCTCCCCGCCCGGCCGGCAGCCTTGGCCTCCGTACCCACAGGGAGGTCGAGGTGGAGGCCGTGCGGCAGAAGCTGGCTGCTCTGCTGTCCTCCGTGCAGCTGCTCCGGGAGGGCAACTCCGGGCGGAAGATCGCCGAGATCCAGGGCAAGCTGGCCGCGGTACCCTCTCGGGCCCCGTGCCCGTCCCGCTAACAAGAGGGGGGCCGCCCCTGTGGAGGGTCCTCAGGGAGGTCACAGGTGTCTTAGACTTTGGGAGTTCCCAGTGGAGGCGCCTGCTGGAGCCCCAAACGCGGGGGGAGGTGGGGCATCAGCAATCACGGTGAAAGGAGCACCCTGAGCCCGGGCTGGGTCCCACCTCAGCACCCACTGCGGTGCCCCCAGACCCCCTCCAGGGGTCAGTTCCCGCTCTGGGAGGGTGGGGGCGGGGTGCTTCCATGTCCACCCATGGGGGGCAGTATTTAGTTTCAGAACCAAATAATGAAATTGGAAAACAGCATCCAGGACAACAAGACCATCCAGAACCTCAAGTTTAATTCGCAAATCAAGTCGGTGAGAAGCGGCCTGGGCCGGCCCCGGGGTCCCAGGCCAGGAGGGCGGGCTGCTTTCTGTGCAGAGCCCGGCTCCCAGTCCCCCGGCCCCTCCCAGCCTGCCCGCCCCACCCTCTGTCTGCAGTCTCCCCTGCCATCCGTCCGTCTGTCTGCATGTCTGGCCTGAGCACCGTTTCCAGGCAGATAAGGCCCTGGTTTGCCCAGAGGAAGATAATCCTGCCTGCATCCCCCCTCAGCCCCATTCCTCAGCTCCGCCGGGCCGCCCCTGCCTCTGGCCGCAGCGCAAGGAGGAGATGGCCACACGGAAGGAGTGCCTGGGGGGGCCGAGGAGCGAGGAGGGCCCGCGGGCCCTGCCGCTGGACAGCAGGAAGGCGCTCAAGTCCCTGGGGAGATGGCAGTTCGTCAAGGACATGGCCTCTGGCGAGGTGGTCCCCGTGAACCGCTGGGGCGTGTATCAGGCCGTGAGGTGAGCCGCGGGAGCTGCCTCCGGGTCCAGGTTCCGGGCGGGGGAGGCCCCGAGGGCCGTGGGGCCTGAGCCGCGTCTCCGCACAGGTGGCTGCAGTGGAAGGCGGTCCTCATGAAGCAGGTCGCCAGGCGGAGGCCACGGACAGTCTTGAAGTGGTCCCTTGGCCAGGAGCCTGCCCACCAGCGCCCAGACCGGCCCCTTTCCCAGAAATAAACATGCCACTCTATCTGCCAGCGCCTGGCATTCCCTCCAGGGGCTCCGGAGGCCCAGGCGGTGGGAGTGACCAAGAGGCTCCATCCTTGAAGCCTGTCCATCCCCAGGCCCTGCTCCTGCCCGAGCCCAGCGGAGCCCAGCCCCGCCGTCTTCCGGGCCTTCCCCAAGAGGCACAGCAGCCGGGCATCCACAGCCTCGGGATCTGAGCCTGTCAGCCGGGCCCTCACGCCTGCCAGGTGCCTGCCCAGCAGAGAAGAGGCTCTTCCCGCCTCATCGAGGGAGCAAACTGTCTGTCGGTGCCCTCAGCAGCGCCCTCCTCCCGCCTCTCCGAGGAAACGTGGCTCATGGGGCAGCTGGCCCTGCCACCTGCTTCGGGGCTTGAGGAGGGGCCCCTGGGACCGGCCAGTGGCTGGCAGTGGGAGGGTTTTCCTGGGAGTCTCCGGAGCCAGGCTGGTTGGGCACAGTGTCTAGACCCCTGAGCCCACAGCCTCAGCGTGGCCACAGCTCCTGTCCTGCCCTCCCTCCCCGTGGGCAGAGCTCCGAGGGCTGAAGGCCAGGATGGCTGGATCCGTACCTGGCCTTCAGCCCCTGCCATTCCTGCCCGGTGGCCTCTGGTGATGGCAGCGCCAGGTCCCCGGATGATCCCTGACCCTCTTCCTGGGCCTGGAAAGTCCCCACCTGAACTGGTGTGTCCTCCTGGTGACCTCCCATCTTCGAGGGCCCCCCAGTGTCCCCCAGGACAGCCGTAAGGGGACTCCAGACCCCTGCTGCCACAGCCCGCTAGGCCTCGGCCAGCTGCACGCCCTCCAGGGCCTGGGCGCCCCTGCCCGGCAGCTCCGGGCCGGTGTCCACCGACCAGCTCGCCAGCAGGTCACTGAAGTCGGGAGTCCCGGGGTGCAGCAGGCCCAGGGGGCTGGGCGCCGGCTCCTTCCAGAAGGAGGGGGGCAGCTTCCTCTGCGTCATGGGTCTGATGTGGCCGTACTTCTGCTCCAGCCGCAGCCGCTGGCTGGCCGACGCCCGGAGCACCGAGAACTGCCGCAGCCCGTAGTCGAACAGCTCGGCCAGCGGCCCCAGCGGCTGCGCCCTCTCTCCGCCGGGGCCGGTCTCACGCCCCCGCCCCTCGGGGCCCCTGGGGGAGTGGGCCCCAGGCTCAGCCGCCCTGTCATCGCTGGGGGACCCTCCCTGGGCCAGGGGCACCAGGTCCGCGCAGTAAAGCTCCCTGGCCGAGCTGCTGGCCGAGTGGCCGTCAGCGTAGACGTCACAGGCGTCTGGGTCCTGCCCCCCGTCCTTTCGGCCAAAGTACCTCTGGATGTCGCCGCTGATGAGCTCAGAGAACCGCAGCAGCTGCAGGGGCATCGCGGGGCTGCTGGGACCTGGAGAGGCCTCTTCCGGGGCGACTGTGGCCCACCCTGAGCTGTGGGGGGCTGGGCTGTGGGCCCCTGGCCCGTCCCCCTCCAGGTCCTCTTCGTCTTCCTCCCCTACCTCCTCTTCCTCCTCCTCCTCCTCCTCCTCCTCTTCCTCCTCCTCCTCAGAAGTGTCCGGGGGTTCCGGGTCTGGGGGCAGGAAGGGCCGGAGGGAGGGCAGGGGCAGCTGGAAGTCACAGAGAGGCTGGATCACGCCTGCGGCCATGTCCTCCACGTTGGAGCTTCTGGGGCCTCGGGGGCAGCAGCCGCCTGGGGGGTGGGGGGGAGAGGGGGCAGGTTACCAGTCAGGGCCTGCAGCCCCTGGTGGACAGAGCATTATGGCCACTCGCTCTTGGGGAGGGTGCTGAGCTCAGCAGTGGGTGAGATTTGGGGGAGGGGGTCGGGGGCACCATGGCAGGAGCGTGGCAGGAGCAGAGGCAGGCCGAGGGGGGTAGAGCAGCAGCGGGCTGGGGACGGTCAGGTCCTGTGAGCAGCGCATCCTGAAGGGCGGTCAGCGGGGTGGGGGTCGATGGCAGGGTGGTGCCATGGAACAGCGGACTTGGGGAGAGAAGTCTCAGAAGACAGAAGCAGGGGAGGTGGGCAGCAGGCGCCCAGGGGCTGGGATGAGAGGGTTTGGGGCCTTGGAGAGCACAGCCCTTGCCCCAGGATGGGGTTGCTATGGTTCCTGGGGTTGCTATGGATCACGGAGGTGGTGTCAGCCCAGGTGCTGGTCAAGGGACCCCTTTGCCCCCTCACAGGCCTGTTGGGTCGGGAGCATCCCACTATCCCTGAGATGCCCACACTGAGCCAGGAACTGGGCTTGGCATCCTCGGGGCTTCCCCATCCCCATTTCTGCCGTCCCATCTAATTCTAATAAGAGCAGTCACAACGCCAGGCCTTCATTTGTCCCCTGTCTGGAGACTGCTCCGCAGTGTGGCGGGTCAGCAGGAGGCAGAAAAGGCCGGTGGGCCTCTCTCGGCTGAGGCTTGGGAGGATGGGGCGGGGATTTGAGGAGGAGACTGTCAGGGGTGCCTCTGGCTCTCCCCTTGACCTGCAGCCAAGCTGGTTCTGAATGCCAAAGCCCCCACCCCCCACCCAGGGAGCAGTGGGGCTTGCCCCCTGCAGTTGGGAAGCTGGTGAGTGAACCAGGAGAGAAGGAAGGAAGAAGGGGAAGGTGATGTGGGAGAGGGGGTGGAGAGAAGGGGCTCCTGGATTGTCAGAGCACACCGCCCAGGGGCCGGTGAGTCCGCAGGCATCACCGGAGTCGGGCAGGCCTGAAGAGCCCGGGCCTGCCTCCTCCCTGCAGCCGCTGGCCGTGCCGAGCTCCCGATCTCCTTTAGTGCTGGGAGATCTTCCCTTTCCTGGGGGCATCCCGTGGCCCCAGCTCTGGGGCGGCTGCTCAGGGGGAGCCGGGACAGTGCCCTCCCCCCCTCCCCCCCTCCCCCTCGTGTCCCAGCCTAGATGGCCTGGCCCTGCACAGCCCTGCTGGGGACCCCTCCCGGTGGGCAGGTGGTCCCCGAAGGCTGCCTGGTCAGAAGGGCCCACAGCCTTCCCAGGAGGGAGACCCCACAGCCTCCCGCCCGCCGCCTGGCGCTGCTCTTACCTGCGAGGCCTGCGACTCTGCTGGGCAGGCCCGCCTCCACCTGGGCTCAAGCATTTATAGCCGGCTCTGCTGCCGGCCAGGCTGGCAAATATTTGGGGACTGCATTGTCATCGCAGACTGGGCAAATAGAATCCGTTTGCTTTAGCGCCCAGCAACCAGGGCCCAGCGAGGGGGAGCCTGGGCCTGCCCGGGGACCGTAGAGTGTTTGCTGCGCGCCCAGCTGGCTCACACCCGGCCGAGGACCCTTATCTCCGCTGCTGATTGGGGCCCCCACCAGGCCTTGTCAAATAGGCGGAAAATTAAATTTCATGCTATTTTGACTTCTGGAGTAGCCTTCTCTAGAGGACATCCTGCTTGTGCAGCGCTCTGGGCGAGCGCGGCTGGGCCAGCAGCGCACCTGAGCAGGCCCAGGAGGAAGGCTGGGGACCGCCACCTGCCCAGGTGGGGGGCTCCTGCAGGCGGGGCCCCTGGAGCCCCTGCTCACCCTCTCCCGCCACCGCCCGCCCGCCCAGAGCTGCAACGGAACCCTGCCCCTCCGCCCAGGGCTTCCTCCCAGGGTCCAGGCTGAGATGGCACCTCCCTTCTCTGCTTCTTTTGGCTCCCACACCGTCCTCTGTGTGTGGGGGTGTGTAGGGGGGAGGTGGGTACCCCCTCCCAGCCTGTAGAGCTTGCCTGGAGGGTGTACTTGCTACACCTCCCTAATGTGTTACAGCCAGGAGCCGGACCCCAGAGGGTCTGTCACACACACACACACACACACACACACACACACACCCCGCCAGCCTCCCGTCCTCCGGTGACCCCGCCCCTCTGCTCCGGGGGGCTGCACAAATGTCCTGAGCCACGTAACCAGCACCACAAGCAGGGCTGAGGACAGCAGAGAGGGATTCTCCCAGTCTGCAGGCCAAGCATCTAAAACCCAGAGACTCTTCAGACCCTAGCGGGGAGCTCAGTTAGTCAGGGCATTGTCCCAATACCCCAAGATTTCAGGTTCAATCCCTGGTCAGGGCACATATAAGAATCAGCTGCCTCGGCTGGTTTGGCCCAGTGGATAAGGCGTCAGCCCAAGGGCTGAAGCATCCTGGGTTCGATCTCGACTGCAGGCTCAATCCCTGCAATCCATATGTCTCTCTCACATACATGTTTCTCTCTGTGTGTGCCTCCCCCCACCACCGTCCCTCCCTCTCTAAAAATCAATGGGAAAATATCCTCGCGGGAGGATTAACAAACAGAAAACCAGCCCAGCAGTGCATAAATAAGGGGAACGACAAATTCACCTTTCTCCCGTCCCCTCTCTCTAAAATAAATTTAAAAACCCAGGGCCTTCGGGGCTGTTCCTTCCACAGGCTCTGGTCGGGAAGTCAGTCCCACATCACACCTCTCTCCTGGGCTCCGGAGTCACCGGCCAGGACCCGTGGCATTCCTGGGTCACTCGGCTGTCCCCAGGCCAGTGCCTGTGTCCATGTCTCCCTCTGCTTACAGGGGCACCATCACCACTCCAGCCCGAACGCCTCTTCACTGGTCACATATGCAAAGACCTGACTTCCACATCAGGCCACGTCCTGAGGTCCAGGTGGACTTGAGTTTCGGGTACACTACTCAGCCCAGGAAGGGTCCTCTATATGTGGCCATGCCCCTCCTCATTGTGGCCACTGCTGAGAGCCTTGCTGCCCTGGGCCAGCCCCTGCATTGCTGGCTGAGAGACCCCAGAGTCCCATCCACTGTGGCTCCCAAAGCTGCCACCGCTGTGGTCCAGGTTCTGAGGACAGGACAGCAGCCCCCTCCCAGCTTGGCGTGTGTCCTGCCCCTGGGCCCCATGATCTCCCTCCCCGAAGTGGGGGCCACCCATCCATCGGGATGGGAGGGTGTCGGATGCCACCCCACTCCTCCCTGGGTCCTTGCCCTTAAGCTCCAGGCCCCACTCCCTTCAGGAGGCGATGACGCCATCCCAGCAGTGATAGCCAGGACTTTCCTGCAGATAGGGGTCGAGGGGCGGGTCTGCCCTGCTGACGGCTGCCTGTCATTTTTCAGGCATCTGGAGGGTCACGTGTACGCATGCACTGCCACCCCAGGAACAGGACCTGCCCAGGCCAAGTTGGTGACCTGCCATGAGTGGGTCTTCGAAGCTGCGGCTGTTGTTTGCCTGGGGAAGGACCAGGGAGGGTGGGAGGCAGGGCCACTGCAGGCCCGGGAGAGGCTTCGGGGAGAAAGGCCGGGCCTCCCTAAGGACACCCCGCACCTTCAGCATGCCGGGCGAAGCCACGCCTCTGGTGGGGTGTCTGGCTAGGATCTGCTGCATGGGCCAGCCCATGCTTGTGCCTCAGTCTCCTGGAGGCTGACCCAGTCTTAGCCACGGCTCTCCGAGACTCCGTGCTCTGGTGACACTGTTGTGCAGTAGTGTCAGTGAGGAGGCCCTGCCCCAGGCTCTCCGGACCCACACTGCCCAGCAGAATCGGCAGGAGGCCTTGGTTGGGGTCTCAGTGGTGCCTGGGCTGTTGGGTCCTGCTCTGCCTCCTGCTGGCCCAGGGAGCTCCCCGCTGTGACCTGCCCTGGACTCCAAGGCAGCGTTTTCACCCGGTGTGCCCCGTAGCACACTGTCACGACACGAGAATTTTTAAAACATGCAAAATGCCTGACTAGTCAGGAGCACTGACCCCTGGTTGTAAAGTAAAAAGATGATGACAGCCAACACAACAGCCGCCGGGTGTGAAGCGGGTATTTTGTCAGATGAGCCAGAAGTATATTTTTTGGTGTGCTGCAGACTTTTTGTAATTCGTTTGTGTGTGCCATGAAATGAAAAAGGTTGAAAATGGCTGCCCTCGGGCCATACTCCAGCAGCTGCCCAGGCTGTGGCCACAGTGCCCCCTGCTGCTGGTCAGGAAAGACCAGTGTCAGCGCGTGCTTCTGGCCTCCGGCCTCCTCTGGACCAGGCCTGGGCTGGGTGCTGGGGCCACTGAGGAAGATGAGGTGCAGCCCTGCCCTCGAGAAGGTCCCCCCTAATGGCCAGAGGAGGCGGTTTTCGGGTGCTGATGGGAGCAGGAGCTCATCTGGCTTGAACTGCAGGAAAGGGGTCCTGCAGACGGGACAGCCTGCAAAGGCCCAGCCCTCGAGGAGCTGGCATCCTGTAGTCGACTGAATGAGGGCCCCAAAGACCCAGCGACTTCGGCCCTGGCACCTCATCGGGCAAAGGGACCCTGCAGAGGTGGCTGAGGTAAGGACCGTGACTAGGAGGTGATCCTGGGTCCCTATGAAAGGGAGGCCAGAGGGCCAGCATGAGAGAAGGAGAGGTGACCACAGAAGCAGTCACTGCTGGCTTTGAAGGCGGAAGTTTGCCACGGGCCAAGGAATGGCGAGGCCTCTAGAATGGAAAGCGAAAGGAGCCGAAACCGGTTTGGCTCAGTGGATAGAGCATCGGCCTGCGGACTGAAGGGTCCCAGGTTCGATTCCGGTCAGGGGCATGTACCTTGGTGGCAGGCACATCCCCAGTAGGGGGTGTGCAGGAGACAGCTGATCGATGATTCTCTCTCATCAATGTTTCTAGCTCTTTATCCCTCTCCCTTCCTCTCTGTAAAAAAATCAATATAATATATTTTTTTTAAAAGAAAACAGAAACTGCTTCTCCGCTGGATCTTCTGCAGCGCAGCCCTGCAGCCCTTGCTTTCCGGCCAGGGAAACCCATTCCCGGGGCCCGGTCATAAGCTCGGCTGGTGCTCCTTTGTTTCAGCAGCAAAAAGGAACTCCCGGCTGGAGGCCTCGGCTGGACAGAGCGGCTGGGCGGCTGCAGGACCTCATGGCCCTGCTGCGAGCCTGGACCTTCCTCCCTGCCCCGGGGGAGCCCAGCCGCTCACTCTTTGCTGTCATGAACCGGATCTGGGGTCGGGGCTCTCGTGGGGAGGAGGCCCATGGTGATCTGCCTGAGCCTGCTTCTTCCTCCGAGCGGCTGCTTCGCCCCCACGGGGCTCCGTGCCCATCCTGGCCTCTGGCTCAGGCCCCGCCCAGAGGAGTCAGGGCAGGGGCTTTGGGTCTGCTCGCACCAACCATGGGAATGCCGTGGACAGACAGCCGGACCCCGTTCTCTGCCGGCATCACCCCAGTGCTTTTCTCCGCTGGCAGAGACCAGGGAGGGAACCCGGTCTAAGACACAGACTTCTGGAGCGGGGCAGGGGACCAGAGCACAGAGGTGTTTGGGATGAGGACCTGGGCAGTGCGCGTGGGCAGGACATCGGGACAGGAGAGGCCCGAGGCAGGGGGACGACCGTACCGGTGCCAGCAATCGGTGACGGAGCCACAAGGCGGTGCCTGAGGGTGCCTGAGGGTCTAAGAGTGGGGGCAGGTAGGAGAGGATTTAAGAAGCAGATCTAAGGTCTCAGTTGGTGTCAAAGAAGTATCCCCTTCCTCGCCCCTGAGCCAGATGCATGATGGACCCAGGGGTCTGGCAGGTGGACTCTGGCTGTCATTATGGTGAGGCTGGGTTGGGGTACAGCACCTTGAAGGGCCCTGGATTGGCAGAGAGACACAGTTTCCTACACATGTCCAGCCCATGTTGGG